GTCAAGGTTTCATGCTGACAGGGTATGCACCGCCTACAGGGGTTTTCAAGGCCGACTTGAAACCGGCGAAGATGGACAAAGCTCAGCTCATGAAAGACTCAAAATTTTTGAGACCGCTCATCTTGGGAAAGCTCAAACACGCCTCCATGGATACAGAAGACGAACAAACGCTGTACAACATTACCCTTGAGGAAGCCCAAGAGAAGGGCTGGCTACATGGCCCTTACAGCCCTGAGGAAATTTCATCTCAACAAGGAGGAACCTGGTTGCCAGTAAGAAGATTTGGAATATGGCAAAAGGGAAAGTTCAGACCGATTGACGACATGAAGGAGAATCATCTGAACGACTGCTTCACCTCTTGTGACAAGATCGACTTGCATGCCATGGACCATGTCCTTTGGAGCCTTTGCATTGCTTTGAAGTTTTGTTTATTTCACGAGTCGATGTCCTTCAAACTGAGTGACGGGACTGTGCTACAATCGGAGGTGCATCCGACATGGCGCGCCAGGCCTCCATCCTTCAGGATCACTTCGTTTGATTTGGCCTCAGCATATAAGCAACTTCCGCTAAATCCAGAAGAATACAACTGCACGGTTGTGACGCTGAGGAACCCCAGTGATGATACAATTAAATGTTTTTACATGAGGACCCTCCCGTTCGGGAGCATCGCGAGTGTGGTTCACTTCAACAGGATCTCAAGACTGCTATGGCGGCTGGGCTTCGCTCTGGGAATATTGTGGGGAAATTATTTTGACGATTATCCCTGCATAACTCACAGCGACCATAACACTTCGACGATGGCATGTGTGCAGAGCCTTTTCAAAATCTTGGGCTTTGCTTTTGCCGAAGACAAGTTGCTGCCTTTTGAAGATCGTGCTGAAATGTTGGGAGTGGAGGTTAACCTCTCGAATGCTATACATGGCACTGTGGTGGTGGACAACAAACCTCAGCGGAAGGTGGAGATATCAGAAGCGATTTCAGAGATCATTTCGGAAGGAGGAATCGTTCCATCAAAGCTGCCTTCCATATTGGGGCGCATGCAATTTGCAGACATGCAACTTTCTGGGAAGTTGGGAAAACTTGCGATGGCGGATGTGAGAGAGATGGGAACCGAGTCTAAGGTATTTGTGCCTTTGACCGATGAGATCCGCAGAGCTCTGTCCATGCTGAAAGTGCGTATGGAATCTGGAAAGCCTAGGGTGCTGCACATTAGCCCAACACAGCAACCGTGGATTCTTTTTACAGATGGGGCGTATGAACCCAACAGAGATGCGGCTCCGAATGGATTGGGGGTCGCAACCCTTGGAGGGGTTCTTTTTGCCCCGACTGGTGATGCGCGAGTGTTTGGCTGCAATGTGGACGAATCTCTGTTGAGACAATGGCTACAAGATTTCTCACACCCAATAGGACTGATTGAACTGTATGCGATTGCTGTGGCCTACAACCTCTGGGGCCCAATGTTTAGAGACCAGAAGATTCTGATTTTTGGAGATAACTGGGCTGCAAATGATACCTTCATAAAGGGGACCTCCAGCGTCAAAGCATGGCGCAATCTACTGCTCCAGCTCGAACGTTTGGATGACAGCTACAATGCAATGGCTTGGATGGCTAGAGTTCCGTCGGCAAGCAACATAGCCGACCCGCCGAGCAGAGGTTCGATTGAAGAACTTAAAATGTATGCCCCGGCGATTGAGAGCCACATCACATGTCCAGTCACAGGCAATGTTCTCGAAGCTTTCTTTCATGCTGAAGCAGACGAGGGGATAAATGCCAAATAGACGGAATACGTTTTGTTCTATCGCCCATGCAAACCAGCCGATCTATGCAGATCTCCAACCGCTGGTGGAAATGAATCAGAAACAACCCCTTGTCCGCTGAAGTGAAAAAGACAAAGCATTGCTGATTGGTCGTGATGTGTTTTTACTCTTTCATCCAGTTGTGCTTTTTCAGTGATGTCTCATCCAAACAATGCTGTGCGTTTTACATGTCATTTTTATTTTACTCGAAAGTGCGACGTTTCAAGTGAAGCGAAGATTAAGCATGGCCCCTGCGCAAAGAGGCAACGCAAAGGTGAAAGGTCTGGGCACATAAATGTGTTTGATAAGCAGAGTTTGGTGAATAAGATATAACATGACAAGGGCAGTTAACAAACTATAAGTTTGCAGTTGACTCGTCAATAGCGGTTTATAGTTAGTTAACTGTTGTGCTTGTTTTGCAAGCACTCCCTTGTCTTGTGCAAGCCTCGAACTTCTGTTTATCTTTCACCTGTGCCTTCTCTTTCCCTTGCCCCTGACTAAGTAAGAGGCTCGATGCGCAAATGTCCACGCGTCGCAACGCCAAACCAAAACGCGTAAGTTGTCTAGTGCGATCAACTCCTCCTTATGCGAGCGTCTTTGACACGCGTTAATAAAGATGTTTTTATTTGAGGTTTCAAAGAAACCCATGGAATATCCAGATGCATGCGAAGCAAATCCAAATGGTTGCTGTGAAACAGAAACCAACGGAACATAAACAAATAAGATGGCATAAGCAAATCTGAAGGGTTCCTGAAACAGAAACCACTCAAACTGTGTGCAATTTCCAAACATATTTTAATTGGATGTTTTCAAATCATTCCCCAATGCTCAGGGAATCTTGTGACAACATGCATTCACACATGGTGACATTCCGAATAGGATTCATTTATGCCACCTGTTATATTCATGTTCAAGAGGGTGGTGTGGGTGGGATCTCAAACAAATGTTTGAGATATGAAAGATTTTGACCCGCCCAACTCGTGACCCTCGTTTTCCCTCCCTGGGGATAAATGCCAAATAGATGGAATACGTTTTGTTCTATCGCCCATGCAAACCAGCCGATCTATGCAGATCTCCAACCGCTGGTGGAAATGAATCAGAAACAACCCCTTGTCCGCTGAAGTGAAAAAGACAAAGCATTGCTGATTGGTCGTGATGTGTTTTTACTCTTTCATCCAGTTGTGCTTTTTCAGTGATGTCTCATCCAAACAATGCTGTGCGTTTTACATGTCATTTTTATTTTACTCGAAAGTGCGACGTTTCAAGTGAAGCGAAGATTAAGCATGGCCCCTGCGCAAAGAGGCAACGCAAAGGTGAAAGGTCTGGGCACATAAATGTGTTTGATAAACAGAGTTTGGTGAATAAGATATAACATGACAAGGGCAGTTAACAAACTATAAGGGAAAGATGCACGAGTTGGCAGAGGAGAATGGGCAGGAAGCTGCTCCAGCACAAGGTGAGGTGCTGATGCCATTGATTTCTTCAGTTGAACATTCGGATGATGAGTGGCGATGGTGGTTGATTGACAGTGGAGCAGCTGTCTCAGTGCTGTCTGAGCAATTCAAGGCCTACTATAAGTGCAGCGCAGAAGAGCAGGTGATGGACACCTACTATGCAGCCAATGGGTCTGCAGTCACCATGAGAGGTGAAGTTCAGGTGACAGTTGCGTTTGAGACGGGATCTGGTTCCAAGAAGTCTCAGAACTTTCGTTTGAAGTGCTGCGTAGGCTCCACCAGCCACAACATTGTGAGCACAACCCAGCTTGTGAAGCGTGGATGGACAGTTGTTCAGTCGCCAGGTGAAACCTATCTTTGGCATGAAGAGTCGAATACCGTGATTACTGATGTGGTGTTGTGGGGAGGATGTCCCTGGCTGAGAGCCAAGAAGACAACATCTCAGGTTCCTGCTGTGAAGGATACCTACATGCCGATGGAAGTTGATGTGCCAATGGAGTCAGTGAGGACCGGGCAAGGCTTGACTGTTGGTATGGTAGGTGCGGTTGAGTTGTCAACCCAGGAGAGACTGCGTCAACACATCTTGAGAGGCCATTATCCGTATGACCCTCATTGTTTGGAATGTCAACAGGGCCGTGGTGTTTCCAGAGCACCCAGGCGAGATTTGAAAGAGCGCTTGCTTGAGGTACAGGTTGACTTCATGTTCTTGGGAACAGTTGGATCGCAGTACAAGTTTTTGTTGTTTCGTCACTGTTTCAGTGGTTTGTTGGGTGTCTGCGCTGTGAGCGAGAGTCTTGACACCACCGGCCAACATGTCCGCCAGATCTTGGCAGAGTTTGGACTGTTGTCTGGAGATCCAAAGCCGATTGATTTCAGGTCAGATGCGTCCGATGAACTCGGGACGACGTTGAGAAGAGCTGGTATTCCAAGAGAATTTACCGTCAGCAAAGCAGGTCCCCAGAACCATGATACTGTTGGTTCAGTGGAGCGTGGAGTCCGTGAGCTGAAAGAAGGTCTTGCGGTACTGAGACTCGAATTGGGGAAAGCAGGTGTTGACGTGGTCAACAGTTTGGTTGGCTGGGAAGCCAGTTCAAGGTACGTGATTGCGATGCACAACTTGCATTCGAAGTTGGATGGCACAGGATTGAGTGGACGAGAGGTCCTGAGAAACCAGGTTGATCAGAAGAATGCTGTCACAGCGATGTTCTGTTCTAGGGTTCTTGCGGAGACACCTGACAGTGTGAACGCTGAAACTCTTCGAAGAAGATGAAAGCCTTATTTCCAAAGCAAACAAATTTTTGTGATGCTGTCCAAGCTCACAAAAAAGCTGCTCAAGCCTCTGGCATTTTTTCTAGAGTCTGTCTGAAGCAATCTGACAATTTATTTTCAGACAACTCTTAAATCACAAACACTGTGATATTTTTTGGCATTCCAAATTTTTTCACAAATTGCTTGCCAAAACAAACATTCATCACAAGTGATCAAATCTATGCATCCTGCGGTGTCACTTGCATCAACCTGTTCTGATGTTAAGTTATATGTTACCGCTACTTTGAACATTCAAGGTGTGGGTGGGTAGGGTTCCTCAAACATTTTTATGAGGATTCACAAAGAATTGCATGGGGGTTCTGTTATTTTGAAGTTTGTTGTTGTAACCTTCAATTCATCAACTGTTTTGCAAACTTCTTTTCAGACGTCTCATTTTTTGAAACAATTGCAACTGCTGGGTAGTTTTCAGTGCGGGCCATCCATGTGGCGTCGACGAACTACAGTGACTGGCTTGGTTTGCATTGTCTGGACCTTTTTCAGCTTCATGCATGGCTATCAATTGACGTTTTCCAAAGCTTGGAGTCAACTGCCTGCCGAATCACCTGTGGTTTTGCCCTGGGACAGAGGCTGCTGGAAACATGTTGTTGGTGGCAAGAAGTTTTCTAGCATACAGCCTGTAATTTTGAAGCGTCCCATGCCTCCTCCTATTTTGTACAACAGCTCATCTGGAGAACAGCAGCACCATGACAAGCGGCACAGAGCTCAGTCCTCAGATGCAACGTCATGGCATCAAATTGTCAGATCCAGTTGTGATGACAGTTGGACGGAGATGAGGGACTCGAAGTTTCAGATTGCACTTAGAAGATGGCTAGATGTTCTCTTGCAGCTTCCTCCAGAGTGCGGCATTGTCATTCAGTTGAAACAGGTTGGAGACATTTCACATCAGTTGAGGATGTTACGTGATATTTTTGCGAAGAAGGCACCACAGACATTGCTCAAACGATGCCATTCTTTTTTGAGATTCATGTGCCACCTGAAGGACGTTGGAGAGACTTTCCCAGGAACCGAGCCTGGATTCTACAGCTTCCTCTGTGGACTTCGTGATTCAGGTGCGACTACATCCAATTTGCAGAGTGTTGTGCAGGCTTTAAATTTTGCTCAACATGTGGTAGGGCTTCCTGAACTTGCAGTTGTCACGACATCAAGACGGTGCATTGGAGCAGTAGGCATGAGGAATGTTGGACCAAAGAGGCAGGCCCATCCTTTTACAGTCAGTGAGCTGCTCGTGCTTCACTCAGTTTTGCTGGACCAGTGTGAAGACTCATGGAACCGTGTTTTTGCTGGCACAGTGCTTTTTGCAGTTTACAGCAGAAGCCGCTGGATGGATATGCAGCATGCGGAAACCATGGAAGTTGACACAGACTTCACTGGATTTACAGCCTACGTGGAGTTGCACATTTCAGTCCACAAATGTCAGGAGTCCACAGCGTTCCGAAATACCTTCTTGACAGCTGTTGCCCCAAATTTGGGAATCACTGCAGATCCTTGGATTCAGGCATGGCTGGATGTCAGGCTGAAGCTTGGGATCGACTTCACGCTGGGCCTACCGACGCTGCCGGCTCCCAACTCAGATGGGCTACCGACAAAAAGGCCCTTGAGTACAGACGAGATGAAGCAGTGGTTGCGTTTGATTCTCAGCTCAAAAGGGGTGAACCTTGATGGGAGACGATTGACATCGCACAGTTGCAAGTGCACATTATTGAGCTGGTTGGCAAAACATGGTGATGAATGGGCCGATCGAATGGCCTTAGGTGGACATGTCTCTTTCATGAAGTCAGCGATTGTTTACAGTCGCGATGCAATGGCGAGACCCATCAGGGTTCTGGAAAAGCTGCTTCTAGATGTCAGGTTGGGCCGTTTTTGCCCTGATGAATCCAGGAGTGGCCGCTTCAAGGACGTCTCGACTGGACATGCTGACATTGGCAGTGACTTTGCAGATGTTGGTTTTGGTGACAACAGTTTGGACCTGGTTGGACCGGTGCAACCGAACAAGTTGGACGATGACATCATAGTCATTGACAGTGATGAAGCCGAGACAAACGATGTCAAACATGAGACCGCTGGTGGTAGCAGTTCAGACTCAGATGTCCTCACAACTTCGCCCAGCGAAGATGAAGCAGGGGCCCGTTGTTCTGGTGCCTCGAGGGTGATGCGGCTGCCAACGGTTCCAGACTCCTTGAAGCTCATTCAACACACCAAGTATAAGACTCTGCATTTGATGGAGAAACAAAACGAAAAGATCATGCTTTGTGGCCGTGCAATTGTGCAGGGGCGATATGATGTTGCGAGCGAGGCGCGATTTGATACGCCTTGTTGCCATCAGTGCTGGAAGCACAAACCAGAATACGACACTTGACCTTCGGCGCCTTGCACTTGGGTATAAAATTGTGTGAGTGAACTTCGTGTCAAACTGTATCATAGTTGCAATCTCAAAATCAAAATGTCCAGCAACAGACACATGTGAAGTGAAACGTTTATGGTTCCTGGAGGCTTCATGGATGACACCATCTCCAAACGTTGAACCAATCAGAGTTAGAGTGTCACTTCGGTCATGTGAATTTGCTTGCATTGTTTTTTGGGCTTTTGAGTTGCAACATTTGCTGTGACACGTTGTGCAATCGCTCACATGAATCAATACACATTTCAGTCCGTCTTTTTCTCAGGCACTAAAGTGCTGGCGGGTAAAAACTGATGTGGCAAGAATTTTTTATGCACCACAAAAGTCGCTGAACCTTATTGAAGCCAAGACAAGAGCATGAATCTTTTGATGGAACTGGACGTTTTTTCACTATAAAATAGTGATCGTTTTTTGGCACAATGATCACCGTGTAGTGATGGAATCATTTTTGTCTTTTGGTAACGTCATGAAGTTCCACCCATTTATCAAAAGGTCATAAAACCAGAGCACAGAAAAACAAATCAAGTGTAGGCCCATCAGAAAGAAACATAGCACGGAAAAATGCTAATCAAGTTTGAACCGTCAGACACGTTGCGTAGTAGGGCATGGCTCTGGTGGACTCAGTAGCATCGTTTGAGAAGAGATGCAACGAGTTACGGGATGGTCTTCATGGTGTTTTTGGTGATGCTGGCATTACAACGTTTTCTACATTGGCCTTTGCTGTGGGAACTCCTCAGAGTGCACCAGCTGACGATGACATGCAGAGGTTCACAGACCGCTTGATGGGCGGCCCGGCCACTTTGGCCGACCTTGCTGTGGTCAAGCGCATTCACTTTGAAGCAGTGACATTGGTGATGGTCGATTTGCAACAACATTCCTCTGCCCAGGACCTGTCAGAACCTGGGCGCAGTTTGCCATTTGTCGAGAAGCAAAGACGTCTGGCTGTGCAGCAGGCCAAGATCACAGGCATCAGCCATCGCCATGAGCAACAGGCGTCACATGCGCTGATCGATGCCTGTTTCCAGATGGTGGAAAGTGGATCCCTGGTGTACCTTGCACCATCGAAGTGTGGGACCAGAGATCAAGAGATACAACAAGATACAAAAACAAAACAGAAGCAGTTGGTGACGATCGAACAGGGGGCCTTGAAGGCCATCGCCAGCCAGAGTTTGGCTACCATAGACGTGGGCACCGAATTGCGATTGATGTACGCCCTGCAAAGGCGTGGGTTAGCAATGGATCTGGTGGGTCTCATCTCTTGGGACACGCACACCGATTGGAGCAACAAGCCCTTTCGGGCCCTCATGGCAGACACAGTGCCAAACTTCAACCCCATCACGATTGACCAGCTGCTCCGTGCAGACCAAGAAATGTTCCTCCTCCTTGCAGCAGAGTACACGGGTCCATTAAAGGCTCCATCAGCTGACCAAGATCCTCCACTTGACCAGGAGGTACGCCGCCTGATGAATGACCCTAGGGTCAATGTGCACCTCACTCCAATTCAGAGGATTGAGAAAAGAGCGGCACCAGCTACAACGCCGGTACAAGGATCTCCAAACAGGAACAACTTCAACAAGAAGCAAAAGACGGATGCCCCAAAGGCACCGAGCCAAGTGCCGGCTGAGTTGCAGGGTCTCCATACAAAAACCAAGGATGGAAAGCCGATTTGCTGGCACAAGAACATGAAAAAGGGATGCCGCAACGCAACGAAAAATGGCCGATGCCGTTTTGGGTATCATACGTGCATGAAATGTTTGAAGCCGGGCCATGGTGCGGCAGATTGCCATGGCGAAAAGGCTTCTTGACAAAATAGAGATCGCAGTCGGAGTCCTTGCAGACCTTTGGCCAAGCCGTTGGGCGAGCAGGACGCCACGATGCATGGCAATTTGGACTCCAAGCCGAAACCTCACGGCAAAGAGCTTGCTGGTGGATGCGATTTGCAAACAAGTCAGTCAACTGCTTCCACAAAAGAAATTTTTGGACCCTCAGCTGAGTTTGTTAGCGAGGGTCCCTGTTTGAAGAATTCAAAGCGGTCCTGTTTGATTTTGGAAATTTTTTCTGGCAGCTGCCGACTATCTCGAGCATGCAGAGATGCAGGATTCAGAGTGACAGCTGTTGACAAAGATGAAACAAGGGCTGAAAATTTTGCTATTTACAAGTGTGATGTCACAAACTCAGAGGACTTCGCACTACTTTTGCAATACATCGAGGCTGAAAAGGAAGAGCTCTTGCACGTGCATTTTGCACCGAGCTGCGGAACAGCGTCCAGGGCGCGTGAGAAAGCGCCTGGACCTCCACCCTTGCGATCAGACACGTTTCCGGACGGTCTGCCAGGACTGAGCGAGCAAAACAAAGCAAGGGTCAATGCTGCAAATCAAAGTTACATTGCTATGTTGTCTTTGGCAAAATTCGTAATTTCATTGAATGTCAGCATTAGTATTGAAAATCCCAAGAACTCACTTTTCTGGAAGTGTTCTTTTGTTCGCAAATTTCTGGATGATTTGCCTCAATTTCATATTTGTGAGTTTCAACATTGCATGCATGGAGGGAAACGCAACAAGTTCACACATTGGTTAAGTTGCAATCCTCGACATTTGGAGCGAGACATGTTTGAGTCATTGCATTTATTGTGCGATCAGCAACATCAACACGCCAGCTGGGCGCCTTACATTGATGAGACGGGAAAACAAATTTTTCCAACGGCAGGTGAAGCGGCTTACCCAGAACTGTTGTGTCATCGAATAGCTTGCATTTTGAAAGAAGAAGCAGTCAAATACAATTTTCATTTTCCATCTGATTTGACAGAACAACTGGATAACCATCCGAACCTGGCCAAACGACAAATATTTACAACACAACCACGTGGCAAGCGTCTCAGACCGTTGGTATCGGAATTTCAAGCCTATCGTTCTATTCTCTTTCCATTGAATTCTGAACACATCATTCAAGAAGTTTTACAGAACCTACCAAAAGGTTCACGCATTTGTCATCGTTCTCTCACCAATGGGGGTATTTCCTGGGATGACAATTCAGCCAGTGCAGCGGGCCTGACAGCGCATGACAGCTGGAGTGATGGGCAGCCAGGAGAAATTTTGCATTTTGGAATACCAAGGGAACCTGAAGATTTCATTCGAGAAGCAGTTGCAAAAGGGCATCCGAGGGATGTGGTCGCCAGAGTGCCGACTACAGTTCGAGCGTTGCTAAGAGACTTGGTGCATGGCAGGCCCGAAAGACGCTTTGCCAAGCGCGCTTCCTTCATGAAGAAATGGCTAAAGCGCTCCTTGGAACTGAGAGCGGATGAAGAACAGCTCCATCAAAGCATGCCTATTCACTTGCGCACGATCCTCAAGGGGAAGCGCCTATTGCTGCTCAAAGAGATTCTGCTTGATTTAAACTATCCAGATGTTGGAATAGTGGACGATATAATATCAGGTTTCCAGCTCACAGGATGGGCGCCCAAAACTGGAGTGTTCGAACCTGACGTTCGACGACCTCAACTTTCAGTGGAACAACTGGTCAAGATGGCCCCTGGGATAAATGCCCGGATCATCAGGTCAGTAGAAGAGGCTCCAGCAGATCAGACAACAGACCATGTATGGGCGGAAACTTGGGCTGAAGTTGAAAAGGGATGGTTGAAACCGGCATCTTCCTCCAAGAACTGCTCAGTTGCTAAGCGATTTGGCCTGCAACAGAAATCCAAAGTCAGGATGATTGACGATTTCAGCGTCAGCCGGATAAACCACACGTATGGCATGCGTGAAAGACTTCGAGTGCAGGCTGTAGACGAACTCTGTGCGTATCTGGCAACCTTGCTTGATGATCACCAAGATGGCAATATTCCAAAGTTGAAAGGCAGAACGTTTGACTTGCGTTCAGCCTACAAGCAGTTTGGAGTTGACAAGTGGCACTCCGATTTCTTGCAAGTTTGTGTAAAGAACCCGAAGGGAGGCCATGGCTTATTTGGAGTAACTGCATTACCTTTTGGAGCCACGGGAAGTGTGACCAGTTTTCTCCGTGTATCAAACGCCTTGGCGCACATTGGCCACCATGGACTAGATCTGATCTGGTCTGCTTTCTTTGATGACTACACTGCCATATGCACTGATACCGAAGAGGACAACGTGACCTTTTACATTGAAGCGCTTTTTCGCATGCTTGGTTTTGATTTTGCAACTGAAGGGGACAAAGCGCCCCCATTCAATGAGACGTTCAAGACACTGGGTCTCGAATTCGATTTAAAGAATATCTGCAGTGGGAGCTTTTGCTTACAGCACACTGAGAGCCGCAGAGCTGAGTTGGTCGCGACCATTAACTCTTTGATAGCAAAAGGCAACACCACTCCGAAGGAGCTTGAACGTCTACATGGCAGACTGGTATGGTTTAATGCATTTGTTTTTGGAAGAAAGATGAATCATGCTGTAAAAATTCTTTCACTTGCGTGTCATTCCACTGAGAAGACCTTGCGTTTGGCAGGGGAGTTGCGAGGGGCTCTAGCAAGTTTGCAGGGATTGCTTGTTGAAAGCCGACCGTTGGTGATCAATAAATCGCTTTGTACAGCTTGGATTATTTTCACGGATGGAGCCTATGAACCGACCTCCGACCGTCCTGCAACGGTGGGTGGCATTCTCATTAGCCCATGCGGCGTGGCAACATCATATTTTGGAGAAGAGCTTGAACAAACTTTGCTTGATAAACTTTTGGTTGATTCGCAACACCCAATATATGAGCTAGAAGTCCTTCCTCCACTTCTAGCCATCAGTGCTTGGAGCCATTTCATTTCAGGATCACCTGTGGTCTTCTATTTAGACAACGACGCAGCCAGGTCAGCGTATATCCAGGGTGTTGGAGCAACTAGGTTTGCCAGAGTGTTTACCAAAAACTTTGTTGGTCTTGAGAGTCGCTTTAGAATCTTGTCATGGTTCGGACGCGTGCCGAGTCACAGCAACCCCTCAGACAAGCCTTCGCGTATGGATTTCAGCGATCCTCTCTTGCAGCACTGCAGCAGAACCAAAATCCAGATTCCAGTACACTTTGAGGAAACAGGGGATGGCTTCGGGTGTACTGGAAACCAAAGCCTACCTTCATAGGCGTCCAGCATACAATCCTGAGATCTTTCCCCATCGTCCTCGATGAAAAAAGGTGCTGCTGATAGGAATCGTTTGGTGCAGTTCATCTCAGATTGACACAACATGTCAGTGTTGCAAGTGCGTGGTTTGTCGAATTTTTGCTGTCAGTTTTGCATGTTTGATTTTTGCTGACGTGTTTCGATGTTTCGATTTCGTTGGCGCACGACGTAACCCGGCATAGCGCGGCGATCTATATATGATTAACATACATATAATAAACTACCATGTCAGAAGATATACTGAAATCACATCTGTGTCTTGCCGGCTTGTGCTGCGCTTTGGTAATGAGGAAATAAGCTGAAACTCTTCGAAGAAGATGAAAGCCTTATTTCCAAAGCAAACAAATTTTTGTGATGCTGTCCAAGCTCACAAAAAAGCTGCTCAAGCCTCTGGCATTTTTTCTAGAGTCTGTCTGAAGCAATCTGACAATTTATTTTCAGACAACTCTTAAATCACAAACACTGTGATATTTTTTGGCATTCCAAATTTTTCACAAATTGCTTGCCAAAACAAACATTCATCACAAGTGATCAAGTCTATGCATCCTGCGGTGTCACTTGCATCAACCTGTTCTGATGTTAAGTTATATGTTACCGCTACTTTGAACATTCAAGGTGTGGGTGGGTAGGGTTCCTCAAACATTTTTATGAGGATTCACAAAGAATTCCCACCCAATTTTTTCCCACCCTTTTGTTCTTTGTCGAATCCTACTGTTTCACAAACTACGCGTACGCGTAGCCTCGTACTGGAAACCAAAGCCTACCTTCATAGGCGTCCAGCATACAATCCTGAGATCTTTCCCCATCGTCCTCGATGAAAAAAGGTGCTGCTGATAGGAATCGTTTGGTGCAGTTCATCTCAGATTGACACAACATGTCAGTGTTGCAAGTGCGTGGTTTGTCGAATTTTTGCTGTCAGTTTTGCATGTTTGATTTTTGCTGACGTGTTTCGATGTTTCGATTTCGTTGGCGCACGACGTAACCCGGCATAGCGCGGCGATCTATATATGACTAACATACATATAATAAACTACCATGTCAGAAGATATACTGAAATCACATCTGTGTCTTGCCGGCTTGTGCTGCGCTTTGGTAATGAGGAAATAAAGCATCGGAAGGTTCGTGACTGCTGGATACCTGTATCCTGTGAGGAACTCGTTTGCACACTTTGTAGTTGCGTCAATTGAAGGTGAACTGAAATTTTTCCAAGCGAAGAGCCTGAAGCTCGTTTTTCCAATTGTGTATCCTCTGGAATTGGTTGGAAGGTTCTTGCGTGCAGTGGACTCTGCTGGACCTGCACCCGCCATCTTGGACCAGGAACCGATTGAGATCGTTCCAGAGGACTTTGCACGTCTGCCCGACAAGGTGCAACCTCCACGGCATTGGATTGATGCCCATGGACGGACCGAAGGTTGTAGTTCTTGTGCTACTCGTCAAGGTCGACACTCCAAGAGGTGCTGTGAGCGCTATTGGACATGGCTTCGGAACCAGAGATCCAAAGAAGCCGTTGTGCCTGAGAAACAACTCCCACTTGCCGAGCCCAATGACCAAGAAGTGGCGGTACCAGTACCATCACAGCCACTACCAAAGATTCCAGGTTTGCCATCTGGAATGTTGCCTACAAGGCACTGTCCGAGTTGTGAGTCAGGTATGAATGCTCCTGGCACCCGCCATTCGGCTGAGTGCCGCAAGAGGCAAGGTGAGTTCTTGTCTACTCCTATCAAGCCGTCGCTTGAGGATGTGGAGCAAGCTTTGGAGCAAGCAGGTGAAGGTGGAGACGTCCCCTACTCACCATCTCTGGGTCCCGAACATGCTGATCTTGCCGATGTGGACATGGACTTACCACTTGAGGCGAGTTCTGCACCAGCTGAGGCTGCATCCTTTTCGGAGCGAGACGCTCCAGAATTTCAATCCGAAGATGTTGAGATGGAAGTTGAACAGCCACAGACGATCCCGATGATCGATGTGTGTCTTTGCTCTGAGAGAGTCAGGATTGGATGTTTGACTTCTCCCGATCTGCTCTCCGAGGAGCGGTTCTCTGTTGAGTCTATCAGTTTTTCAGGTGGAGCTCATGACTCTGAAGTTGTTGAGCTATGTGGATCCAAGGTTCGATTGTGGAAGCCAACAGGAGCTGTTTCGGATACCACTCTTGAAGAACTGGACCCCCAAGGAACTTTCCTTGCGATGGTCAAAGAGCTCAAGGGATTGACTCATGTGAAGGCAGGTCGTATCATGAAGGAGAAGGAAGCCTTGCAGTTTTGCAAGAAGCACAACATCAAAGTTATCTCCTGCAGGTGGGTTACGAACAGTAAGCCTGAAGCCGACGAAGGAGTTCGTGCTCGGATAGTCGTGAAAGATTTCGCTAAAGGTCAGAAGACCGCCAGGCAGGAAGGTATTTCTTCCCCCACACCCTCGATTGAGTCGCTACGACTTCTGTTGGGAGCGGCAACGGGTATGTGGACTGGTGGAAAAGGTTTCAACCTTTATGCGATTGACGTCAGTCAGGCGTTCATGAATTCACCGCTCACTGTGAAGGTTTGTGTCCGGCTTCCATCATCAATCAGCACACTTGACAATGAACCGGTTTTCCTTGAGGCTTACAAGGGTTTGAATGGACTTCGTATCGCAAGTTTGACTTGGGTTCTGTTCTTTGATGGGATTGTCAAAAGCGTTGGCATCCGATCTGGACTTGTGGAGCCATGCTTGTACGGTGGGATGGTACGGGGTGCCCCCATCCTTGTCATCTGTTATGTTGATGACCTGTTGGTTGCCACGCCCAGCGAGGCTGCGTATCGTGTTCTGTTTGAAGCTCTTGAGAAGCAGGTCAAGATCCGAGAGACTGGCCGAGTGACCATGTCTGGTGGTTCATTGAAGTTTCTAGGCCGTACCATCCTCCGAGAGAAGGGAAGCTCAGGTTTGCAGTTGTTTGTCGACCAGGATTACCTGAACAGTGCGTTCGAGGAGTATGGAATCTCCAAAGGTTCCACTGCATTTCCTGATCTTCGTCCATTTTTGGAGCAGACACTGCAAGAAGAGCCTATCAGCGCTGAGGCGCACTCCAAGTTCAGGAGAGTTCTTGGACGTTTGTCATGGCTGGCACAGACCCGACAGGATATCTTGATCCTGATTGCAATGCTGTCGACTGGACAATCTTGTCCAAAGCCAGGCCATGAGAAAGCTCTGCGAGCCGTGCTTCGATTTATGTTGTTGCACATGAAGATGTCCCAGAAATTTCCCTCACCTGGACTTGAGGACCTTTCTGAGAAGGACATCGGTCTGGAAGTTTATAGTGATGCTGGATTTGCCCCTATGCAAGCTACTCAGAGGAGAAGCATCACTGGATGTGTTATTGTTTTCCGACGTGTTGTCTTGAAGTGTTTCTCTCGACATCAGGCATCTGTGACTTTGAGTTCATGCGAGGCAGAGCTCGTTGCCGTTCAGGCAGCTGTCCAAGAAGCCATTGGTTTGCTGAGAAGTCTGAGTTTTGTCCTGCGTCGCATTCAGGTATATCCACCGTCTTCATCCGAGGACGACAGTTTG